ACCTCTACGGAAGGCAGTGTAACCCAAGATGCGTTCTATTATTCTAATACAAGAATGAAATAAAGTCTCATAGTTCTGACGTTTACATTCTTTAAAACTGAACAGTCTTTTTTTTCAACCCATCCAGGAATTCAAATTACACGTTTGGCTAAAAAATCGGCAATACTATGGTGTTTGAGATGCAACAGAAGACAGATAACAAACATTTGTTACCAGCTGCTTTTCGGTTTTCATTAGAAAATAGCAACAATGAACGAAAATTACCGCTGCTATAGATAACTGGAAAATAAAAAAAAAAAATAGAAAATAAGATTCTAATTGCCCAATACACTCGTTGTAAAATAGCTGTGCTTGTTTGCTAGTCAAGCATACAGTTACTGGGAGAGATTTTCCAACAGCCAAGACGATTCTAGTGTAAGCTCAGAAACAAGGTAGCTTCGATTTGTCTAGCGAACGGTGAGCCGTTTCTGCCTCAAAATTATGCGTCTTACACCCTTCGTAGTCAAGGTCGAAAACCTTAGCATAGCTGTACTCGGAATGTAGACATCCCGATAATGTTACACCGATGCTCGGCTGTATTGGTATTTCTGGTGGAAGAATATGAAGTTGAATTGGTATTAAAGTAGAAGAGCGGAAAAGAAGATGGTAAAAGCAGGGGAAAAGAAAATTAGCAGTCATTCTGTTAGGGGGTCATGTGAAAGTCCTTTGGATAAGTAAGAGGCTAACTGTTCGCTTACTAATGAAGAAACGAAAATGAGAAACAGATTAGTAAAAAAATAGGAGAAAGGAAGGAGGCTGTGAATTCACTCTTTGACTGTGTGAGCGTTAAAAGAGTAAAATTTATAACGTGCTATAATATATATTTGGATGAAAGTACAATGATGTGTGCAATACGGAATAAACTGCGTAGTGGAAGGGTGCTATGAACGTAAGACGTGATGTGTACTGTAGAGACCCAGAGGGGATATATTGGACCGTAGTTGAGTTGGCAGCGTATAGTTACATCAACTGTTGTTGATGAATCCGTTGCTAGTACAGCCAAGTCTGATACGCATGTGTGTGGCCAAGTGCAGCCAAAGACCGGGAGCCAAGTGTAACGGATTGTTGTTAAGAGATCGTCTAGCGATCACTCTTCAGCGGCCAAGGAGTGTCTGCGTATTCCACCCGTACAGTGGGACCGTTATAAACGGGGACCAAGGGAGGTGCATAAGTCGGTGCTCCGCAACCGGACCTAATCGAGGCTGACGATCCTTGAAGACACGTATGATCCTCGGCGCTACAGTCGCAGCCGGAGTAGTGTTACTCTGTTGAGGAAGTGTCGAAACGGTGTCGAGTCGCAGCTGAATCGAAGACGATGAGCCGAGTCAAGTTAGAGACGCCCGAATTACCAGGACCCCGACTGAGGGTTCCTGTGCTCTTTATACTGTTCTTCGCGAGGAGGGGCTAGACATGCTCCCAGATTTATTTTTGAATATAGTACTACCCGCCTTATCTGGGCAGGGTCAGTTGTCCACGTGCATCGCAGCTGCACTGATTTATTTGTCTGTTTAACAAGCAATATGCTTTTTTGCCCTTTTGGCGATAACAATTATCTGTCAAACGCAGATAATGATTTATTATCTGCATTTGAATTCCGCAGAAATTATAAGATTTTTGAGTTTTATCTACACGGTTTTAAAAGTGTTTTACAATAGTAATCTGTCCATGTTTCACCCCTTAGCTGCATAAAAATACACAGTAATAGTGCGGAAAAGGTGGTGACCATCAGTGGAGTACCTGACCGGCCACCCGACTAAATTAATGTAATGGAGTTGAAGAAGGGAGGAAGAAAGAAAAATAGAAAAAGAGGAATGTTAGCAGTGTTCTTGAATACGATATAGACATTCATGCCGGCTTTTTCAGCCTTTCGAAGGTCCGATGATGCTTCATCATACTCCACACCAGCAAGGTATAAATACTTCACATATCGCTTTCTTTTTGAGTCTGATAAACTGCCACTTGATCACAGTGCACCTTCGTACCATTTATATTGCTGATATCCTTTTTTGATTACATGAAACAAAGCTCTACACAACTCATTAGCGCGCTGGAAATCCTGGCATTCGATTAATCGCTTTTTTTCTTTCTATTTTCCAAAAGAAATACTCAATGCATCAGATATTCCGCCTTTTGACTCTAAGTTTTGCAAAAGCTTGTTAACTACGCCTACGATCTAGCTTTTTGAACATATTTTTGAATTTTAAAGGCACAAATCTTTTAAGTAGCTCAAACTTCCCTTACGATAATTTCGGTGATTGAGAGATGATACTTGAATGAAGCCTAATGAATGCTTATGGGATAGGCAAGCATGGTATACTAAGACGGAGGGCTGCTATAAAGTAGAACACTGACATTCCACTGCCAATGAAAAACCAATCGTTCCACGGTTCGTTCACTCATTTCGATGATAAACTGATACCGACATGTAGTGAATGCTGCTACTGGCATACTTTACTGTCCAGTCTACTTCCGAGTGCTATTTAAAGAGAACGGTTACAGAGAGGACTTCTCTATAACTTTGAATATTTGTGCAGAAAGAATTAGTTAAAACCACAGTTAATTGCAGGCGACACTCCGATATTTCTGCGATCGATTTCGATATTCCATCTCCGCTCCCGGTAAGCTGTATTACAAAAATCTTATTCGAGCTTTCACTCATTTGATAATTCTGTACTTTCACCGCTGTCTTGTTAAGGATGCTGGAAAATACGCAGTTTCTGCATGTTTGCCTCATGCAAAATACCTCCATAACAGATCACTGTTTAAGTTTTCTGTTCCAATGCCTATTCAAATAGACGTTGCCTGTTGTATACATGCTGATTTATAGTACGATCCCCAACATACGCCACGTGATGCATACGTATTTGGACAGCGCCGAGCGCTTTCCAGAAGTGCCAGCTACACAAGATCAGCGCCACGAAACCCAATCCGTACGCGAGCCTTTTCATGGGTAAATTCTTCGCTGCCTCTTTTGAGAAGTAAAATTTGCCCAGAACAGTTCCTTTTCGTCCTTTGCAGCTAAAAACTTAATAATGACCGATTGTCGCATTAGACAGTTATCACAGCAGAAAATTTTCAGATAAGAAGTAGATTTTGGTAGGAAACAAGACTGGGATGCCAAAATTTTACGAGGAAATTTGATAGGATTCAGTTTTAAGGTGCGATTAGGTCCTTCGCAAGTAAAGTTTCAGTTTTGAACACTCATGAATGCACGTGTTGTGCAGGTATCAGCTCATCATAAAGCTTTTACATATCGACAAAATCGTGACTCTAGGCTGGCCAGTCACGAGCTCCAGGTCCAGACCTTTCTGGATTCGATTCTGTCAGAGCTACTCCGAGAAGTGCTGGGAGACAGATGTGGCCTTATGAACAGGAGTCATCGGAATCAGATTTGGGATTTTTTCATCCACAACCGTCACGTCTGGATGAGACGCGGATGACGAGTGATGAAGTTTTTGATTATGCTGATATCCACGGTTTCGGTAAGTAGCACATCCGAAACTCCTGCATGTGTTCAAATCGAAAAACATACGGAAGTGTGACTTCAAGAAGCGTAAAACGATAGCTTCTATCTGCTCTTACAGTGTTCTTAAAAAATGAGCGAAAAAAGACAACAGATAGAGTGCATCATAATAAAGTGGACTGGTCATTCATCCATGCAGCCTCAACTACAACAGCCACAGAAAGATTGCTGACTGTCTGGGTGCATCTGGGACATGAAGGCAACTACGAGAAAACATCAGCTGATCAAAGTAACAAAAGTGTTAAAGCAAAAAAAAAAAACTTACGTGGCTTTTTTTAATAGTTAATCAAATTGTTCATCACGAACAAAAAAAAGCTCAAAATGGCATGGGATATGTGCAACTGAGTTCGTCCTATTAAATATCAGGCCAAAATCTCGGTTCAGAAAATGAATGGCTGAATAATTCCTCCAATCAAAGTCAAAAAATTAAAATCTTCCTCCGTACCCGCTGTCAGTGAAAGGTTAAGGCATCTGGGAAATAGCCCGATTGCTACAAAATCCTAACAGCAACCGCACACCGGTAGGGACTGCTACAATCAAGCTGATGGCAGAATTCTTTAAGTAATGAATGAAAAATTTGGCATTAGCGGGCTAAAGCCAAAGATTAAATCTGAAGTCATTAGGTGTCCAGACTCAGCCAGAATTTCTTTCTTCAGGTATGGCCGATGACGAAGGCAACCATCCAGAAGTGTCGTTTACTGGAAGTTAGTTCAAAATTCATTGTTTTCGCCAGTAATTTATTGTTTTGCTAATTAGATCTGAATCACGTACTAATTGGACAGAGTTCCCCCAATTGCGTCTAGAGCATGCTGGATGTTTCTTCAAGTCTCAGAAGACCTTATTACAATAGAAAAACCATTTTCTATAGGCAGAAACAAAATTCGAAGAAAATACTACAGCTAATTTTTTATCAGGTGCAAATGAAGAATTTGTGGCGCCTCATGAATTGTGGGATCCAGTTCGGCAAAGAATCCGAGGGTTGGTAATTTTTAAACCTTATTTGCTACTCTGGCCTATGGCAACATTAAGTGCACCAGCGGCAAATTCCTTCAGGGAGCAGATACCAGCACCTGTAGATTTTAGGCTTTTTATATATTTCCTATAAAAAAGGTTACTGAAATCAAGTTTAACAAAGGCTTAGCTAACAGCCTTGTTAATACTTCGAAGAAGCCCGCTGCGAATCTACGCTGAAACAACGAGGGAGGTCTCTGAATATAATGTGATATCTCTTTTACTCTGAATGAACGAAGAATTGAAAAAGTTGAAAATCACTAGCGACGCGCCCCGGGTGAGCCGGTGCGACATGCGTTTTTGCAGTATTTCGTACTGTAGTGAGATCGCTCGGAAACCCAGTAGATAGAAATGTGTGATGGTACTGGTCCTCGAAGGCCGGGAAGCTAATGGTCTACGCAGTATTTGGACAGGAAAAGTTCCGTTGAAATTTCAGCATTCCAAATTTTTTGGTTCTTGAGTTAGCAATTCCCCTGCCAAAATTTTTTGTAGGGCCGTACGTCACAGCCACGAACATCCGGGGGCTGAGTTTGGTAAATTTAAGTGTACATGGGCTGGAAACACTCCCTGAAAATTCCAGCCTCTCGGCTTACCTGGTTCCCGAGTTAACCATCTTCGACCAAAAAATTTTACGTGGCAGTACGTGGCAACCACGCATACATTGGGGCTAAATTTGATAAATTTGTGTTATACTTTTGCTGGAAACATTCTCTGAAAATTTCAGCCTCCTAACTTTCCTGGTTCCCGAGTTAGCCATTTTCCTGCCAAAAACTTTCACGGGGCCGCATGTGACAACCAATCATACATGGGTGCTAAATTTGGCAAATTTAAGCTGTACATGGCCGCGGAACATTCTTTTAAAACTTCAACCCCCTGCCTCTCCTGGTTCCCATGTTAGCGATTTTCGCGCTAGGAACCCTCACGGGGCCGTACGCTGGAACTACGCACGCCTCGGTGCTGAATTTGAAATTTTTGAGTTCTATTTAGACGAAGGACATAATCTCAAAATTTCAGCTTTCTCACTTTTCTTGTTCCCAAGTTAGCAATTTTTCCGCCAAAACTTTCACCCTCTCGTGTGCGTGGCCCAGACTTGCATGAGGCTTAGTACCGCGGTACTGGGACGGCATCTGACTGGGGAATCCACTGGCAAAATTTCGGCATCAGAGCTTGCTTGGGTGCCGAGTTGAAATACCAGGGCAGACGCACACACATACATACATACATACATACATACACACAGTCACCCCGCTGTGTGTGTATGTGCGTTTGCTTATAAGCAAAAGCGCACAAGAAACACAAAATAATTGGCCAACGCACGGGCTGCCCGTGCGAAAATGCGTTTTTTGCACAGCTTCCCGCAGATTTTTATCGCTGACGGCACTGTTTTTTCCGGCAGATGCTTCTAGCTAAAAGAATTTCAGAATGGCCGCCAGGACTGTCAGGAAAATTCTTTTCAAAATCTCAGTCTTCTAATTTCTCAGGTCCCCGAGTTACCAACTTACCCGAAAAAACTTTCGCGGGCCCGCACCTGGTTACCACGCATGCCCGGCGTCTGGGTTTGAGCTCAATGAGACTCGTAAGATGGGGAATATCCCCTTAAAATTCAAATTCTTGAGTTCGGGACTTACCCGAAAAAAATTTTGGCGGGCCCGTGCGCGGATACCACGCGCAGCCAAGGGCTGGCTTTGAGCTCATTGAGACTTACGTGACAGGAAACACTTCCTTAAAATTTCAGCTTTCTAGCTTTTCTGTTTCTCGAGTTAGCGACTTACCCGCAAAAAACTTTCATGGGCCCGTAAGCCGGTACTACGCAGGTAAAAGCGCCCATTTTGGGGGTTGGGGCTCATACGTCTCTGTAGATTAAGTTCCCAAAGTTTCAGTCCTGTAGCTTTTATAGGTCTCGAGATGAAAAACCGCGACAGACGCACACACGAACATACACACACAGGCAACCCCTCGTCAACACGTGTTTTCTGCATTGCATAGCTGCAAAAAAGGCATAAAAACTGAATCGATCAGAACAAAAAACGTCTTGGCCGAGGAGGGAAATTACCATAAAGGTAAAAAAAGCTGCAACGAAGTGACGGGGAGTAAGCAGATTCCGAATCCTGAATTTAGAGCTAAAGCACCAGCTTTATCACAAACAGACCAAATCAGAAGCAGAAATTGGATGAGAATGTCATTTTAAACAGGATGTTAGAAATTGAGAGTACCAACTTTTCATCGGAAATGTTACAGAAAACCGCGGAAATGTCGGCAAAAAAGAATCCGCCACAAAAAAATATGTGCTACCTCTTAGAAGACAAGAAAGTTGTGTGCTTCATTATAGCGAGTACAGCACTGGAACACTCCCACGCTGTCCCTGGAGTACGGGGACTGGGGGTAAAGGGTCTAACACGCTGCCTCCGGCTGTAAAGACGAGTAGCTTATTTCCCTTCGAGTCTATAACCATTTATAAAAGAAAGTCCCATTTGTGCCAGAAGGCCACACACCGGCCAACAGCAGTGTACCGATCAAGAAAGACCTCCGGAAATTGAATAAAGGAAATAGAAGTTGGAATATACGCACATACCCAGTAACTTTTATTTATTAGTCACTTTACAGATCACATTTATCAAATGCTCTTCCAGGACGCCAATGCCTCGTTCGGCACGACAACGATTTTTTGCCTCACCAGATTCCAACGTTTCTACTCCAGAAAGCTACCGTTATCGACCGGGATCTGGACTCCTAGAACGAATCCCATCCTCTTCTCTCAGACCTCGTTCGCCAAACCGAGTAAGTTAAATGGCTTGCTTCATTTCGCCTCTTTACGCGCAGCATATTACGACTTCATAAGTCAGCGTCACTTATATGGGCAGATTCCGAATTAAAGGCATGCAGCATCACTAACAGTTGGCAAAAATCGCTACCAATCATACTACAGTTTCATGTGAATATTCCACTAAATTTCATATGCCTTTTCGCCACCGCATAATCTCCGTTGTTTGAAGCAGAAAATTGTCTGTTTCACCCTATATGGAGCTGCATGACCCAGTTTCGAATCTGTATTACGAGTGTATGGGAGCGTCATTCCTTTCGGAGTTCCTCGGATGATGGCTTTTCCTTGAGGAGGATATCACTGACTGAAAACGCCTTCCACTGCATATCAGTAAAGTGGGCAATATTTCCTGCCCACCAGATTCAGCTTCCTGTCGTACATATGACGGAACATGTAACTGTCAATATCATGACGAAGAGGTACGCCAAGTACCTTCTTCTCTTGCTTCTACAGCCAGCGTTTGCTCATTTACTTTCGTCAGTGGCCATATTTCGCATTTCCTTTTAACACAATAGCTTTGAAGAAATACGCCCTTCCGGCTTAACAGCCTTTTAGAGTGGAAGACTCTGTGAAAAATTGCATCAATCAACAACTTGTAGTTGGAGGTTTTGTAAAAGTATTGAAAGTTGAACTTCATCAGCACCATTTGAAACGAGGGGATAACTGCTCGTTCTCAGCCCCCCAAAAAGCCGTGCTAACGGTCTACACGGTTTTTTTGCTCACATTATTTTAAACTGTAACCAGGGAACGAGCCTTGTGGTGAAGCTGTTTCGCTAGAGAGCGGTGGTTTTATCAAGATTCACTGTTTTTATCAAGATCCACTGAATTCCTACCCAGCTCCTTCCTAAACTTTTTCTAAATTTTTCAAGATTTTAGGGCAGGAGAATGGATTTAGTTACGTTAGACAGAAGAGATGGAAGCTTCCTGGGACACTACCTGCCGGAAGATGCATCACCGCAATATGGAGATGAATTAGTTGATGAAGACGGGGAGAGTGACGGTGATTTACGCAACGATAGCGGAAGCCCGCGTACTCCTCATCGTCATCGCCGTCGTCGTCGTCGTCGTCG